CCTGCCCTATACCCCCCTATACCCCCTCTATACCACCCGTATTGTCCCACCCCAACCCCCCATCCCCAAAAGTTTCTCAGCGGATTTGGGCTGTACTCAGCAAGCACAGTACAGCCCCCAACTCAGATTTTTAAAAAAATCAGTGGATGGTTGTTTTCTGACTGGTCGGCGGATCGCCGACCGGTCGGCCCCGATCGGTCGGGGCAAAACGGTCGGCGGTCGGGGTCGGCGGTCGGCGCCGGTGCAACCCTGCATAGCTGGATTTTTCTTTTTCCGTGTTTTTTGCCCTTCATTTCATGGAAAGAGTTTTAGTGAGTTGGCATTCCTCTTCAGTCCTCTCTCCCTTTTTGGAAGACTTTTGCCTGCCTTCTTGGCCGGGTTTTTTTTTTTTTTTTTGTCATTTCTTTCTTCAGGCAGGATCCCGGAAAACTGCAGACACAGACGGCCTCGCCCCTCTACACAACACTATTTGTATCTGTAGCATATGATCTTGTTGATACTTTCAAAATGTTGCACTCCAACGAATGCACCCGGTCCTGGAGGCATCCCAATGCATGTAGAATGTCTTTTCTTTTTCTTTGTTTTTGCCGACAGGTTGAAGGACTTGATTCCTCCCCGCCACCCCACCCCCCTCCCCTCACTCTTGTCCTTTCTTGGAAGATTTTCCCCTCCTGTTCTTGCATTTTTGGGGCTTACTTTTTCTTTTTTGTCCTTTCTTTTTTGTGCAGGATTCCGGGAAACTCCAGACTCTTGACGTCCTGCTGAAGGATTTGAAGGCCGGCGGCCACCGCGTCCTGCTTTTCTCCCAGATGACGAAGATGATTAACATCTTGGAGGTAGGCGAGCGCGCGTGTCGTCTCTCTCTATTCCGGTCTCTAGACTCCCTATACATTTCAGGTTTCAACCGGTTGCTCATTTGCTCAATCGCCCTCCTGCCTTCTGCGCAATCACTTGGGAGGGACTTGTCTTTCTCCCCGAGAGAGGGCTTCCGGTTGTGGTGGAAGGCCTTCAAACCGCCACTACCTCCCAGCCCCTTTTTGCCGAGGCGGAGTAGAGCTGCGCGCCTAGCTTTTTTGCCAAAGCGCCCACCTCTGAGAACACCCCCAGCAAAATTAAAGGGGCCTCACTGCATGGAGCCGCCCCCCCAAAAACGTGGAGAATGATGACTCTCTCAACTTCTAAAAGTGTGTCTTTAGGTTGATGCCGCCAATTAATGGAACAATACACACGCCATTTTAGGTACATGTTCTGGCCGGTGCCGCCGACCTTTTTGGTGCGGTGGCAGCCAGCCTCCGCCAGCCTCCCCCAGCCTCCGAAGAATGCGGTATAGATTATATTTATGACGTTGCCTTCCAGTCTGAAAGTTAGTGGTGGCTTAAGGAGGACGGGGGCAAGGGAAGCCAGGCTTTGAGATGACACTGGAGCACAGGTGAGATCACTTGGATTATCGGGCTCGCATGGCATGATCGCCAACTGCCTTCCGGCCTGCATCCTCGTGTCGGTCCGCCGCGACCCGGGCATGATCGCAGTGAGTGATTGACATTGTGGATTGCAATGGTTGGAGGGGGGGGGGAGGGGGGCGTGCAGTCAAGTGGGGAGGAGGGAGGCTATGGGTGTGGAGAGAATAATTTACTAAATTTGCAGTTGTTGATTTTTTTAGCTCGGCGAGTCCGCTAGCCGGGCCATCACTCACGTGCCTCCCTCTTTCCCTCGTGTCATTGCCATGTGTACTACGAAGGACTACATGAACTACCGGAAGTACAAGTATTTGCGGCTGGATGGATCGTCTACAATCATGGACAGGAGGGATATGGTAAAGGACTTCCAGACCAGGTAAGCAGAGTGTCCAGCTACGTAGTGCAATTTGCACGGCACTGAGGATTTGGCTGCTGACACATTTGTCTGCGATCCTGCTTTTGTTGTGCATATTTCCCCCATATATATATATATATATATTTTGACGATATATACATACCTCCTGATGAGTCGGTGAAACTCCGACGAAACAGTTTGTCACAGCCCCTCGTTTGTTGTCCTCTTCTCTCTCTCTGCCTACGGTTTACCGGGCAGTTCTGTTTGTGACGATATATATTACCGAGCAGTTCTATTTGACGATATATATATAGCCTACGGTTTACCGGGCAGTTCTATTTGTGACGATATATATACGATATATATATATATATATATATGACGATATATATGTATATATATCCTTTTCTGCTCCTCTCTTCCTTGTGTTTGACACCTCTTCCTTCACTCTGCCTCTTTCCCATAGCGTGCAAGTGGGCTGTTATGGCTTACGGGGATGGGGGCAGCTCGCGCTCAAATTCATCAACGTGGCGAGCCTTGTACGTTAGAGGCACGGTGGAGTTAAGAAGACTGAGAAATTGAATGATTTCAATGTGTCTTTGTTTTTTATTTTTATCCTTTTTTCAGTGTAAAAAAAAATTGTAAAACACTGAAAGAAATAAGAATACAGTGAAACACAGAAGAAGAGGACACTGTTTTGTGTCATTCTAGTTTGTCTGTCTCTTTGCCTGTCTGTCCTTTCCTTTTTCTTTTCTTCTCTCATTTTACTTCTTCTTCTACTTCACGTGCTTACGCTCTTAGTCAATAGTTCTGTGACTATATATATATTATATATATTGATTTTGGTTAAGGTAGATTATCATTTACAGTGTAATCAGTGACGGGATTCTGCAGACTGTTGAGGGTTCAGCCTCCTGAGCCTCGTGGAGGCTGTGTTATGCTGTGGTCCAGGAGTAATGCCAGACCTGGAGCCTCATTGTGTGGCGTGTCTGGCATCTTCGTTTTTTGTCATCCTAGTGTTTGCCTTTGAGCGATCTTGTCCTGACATTCTTCTCCTACCGTCCATCTTCACCCGAAAACAACGTACGTCGTACGGTCATTATTGCTGTATCAAGTTGCCCCAAATACAGCTAGATAATGACCGTACGTTGTATTCGGGTGAAGACAGTAGCCAATCTTCGATCTGGTATTGGCCGTCCTTCCGCTTTGAGCTTCAGCCTCGGGCTCAGTTATCGTCTCCGATCTGCACTTGTATTGAACTGCAAGCAGGTTGGTACATCCATAAAATGTTGAAAAAAATGCAGACCGGAGTTAAGAGTCCAGATGGAACCATCTGGACCAGAGGAGCAACATTCCTGAATTACCTGGGGGTAGTCAGTGTCAGCCTTCAGGATGATATCTCAAGGCTGTCAGTCTATATAAAAAGAAGAAACTGCGAGCAGGTACCAACGGGCCTAGCTCAGCTGATAGCACTTAATACACCCATGAGACTGTCGAAATACGGACCCGAGTTCACATCCAGATTAAAAAAAAGGGGAACTGCGAGCAGGTGCAAGCAAAAGTGTATTAGGCAGTTACAAATCAAGTGCCTTGAGCTTGTATTCGGACCGCGAGCACGTGGAAGAAGACAAGCTAAGAACAGAGTACTGGGGGTGGAAGGCGGTCTGGTCTTTGTGCTTCACAGTGGCGAGTATGTTCAATCGCTTTGTGGCATCGGAGCAGAATGCTGCAATCTTCTTGCATCTGCTCCCGTGTGCTTTGTCTGGCCGTCATCTGGTACCTGCCGCCGTTTATGTGGGTGAAAAGGGCAACAGAGAATGGAAGAGGAGGAGAGGTGCTGAAAGGCTGATGTTTCCAGCTTAAACCACCAGTACATCCAGCTATCGGCCACGGGCCCTTTTCGGAGGCCAGATGTCGCCGCCGATTCAATTAATCTACGGCGCCGAGCCTCCGAAATTTCCGTAGGCGATGATTTTTATTTCTGCAAGGCTGGGGCCGTGTACTGGGGCAGTTTAAGCTGTGCACTCGTCCTGTCCCGCTATGCCCAATCTTCCACTCGCTACGGGTCTCCAGTACTCCCCTCTTGACTTTTTTCCTCCTGCCTTCAACTTCAGGCTATGGGGAACTTCTGTTCTTCTATTTTTTGAATTTTTTCCCTCTTTTTTTTTTTCTCTTTTAGTCAATCCAGCTAAAATCCAGATCAGCAGGGGTGACTTTTTAAAGTTCTTTTACATGAGTTCGCTCATCAATCCCGTTTCCGCTCAATTTTTCTCGATGATGCTGTTTTTTTAACTTTACCTTTTTTTCTTTTTTCTTTTTCTCTCTCTTTCCCTGAACCATGCTCCAATCTATTCGTGGGGAGCAGCACCGTGCTGGGAACTGTGCCGAGTGCGTGATGCGATGACCCTCTGATTGACAAAGCTGCTCTTGAGACACTGAGAAACTGTCTTTGCTGTGATGTGTTTGTCTCGTATGTGGTCCTTTGTGCTGTCAATATTCATGTGAATGTAACTGCTTTTTTTTGTGAGATTCCTGAGGGATGACTACCGTCTTCACTGGAATAGAACGCCTGGTCATTATTGCTGCATGTAGACTGGAAGTTGAACCAAATGCCAGCTATAATGACCAGGGGTTCTATCTGGGTGAACATGGATGCTATTGATTTTTTTTTTTACTAAACCGTAAAATCAGTATGCTCCGGTTGTGAGTAGCAAATTGACTGTGTTTCTTTGCCGCCATGTCAAAAAAATGCTGATTAAAAAAAATGAAAAATGATGACCTGTAAGGCTGTCACCGATGTATTTCTGACGGTTGCTTTTGGAGCTCGGCCACGAAGGGCCTCGGCCTGCGGCTCGCAAAACATGAAAAAGTAATAATGAATCTTCTCAAACAATGTGCCAAGGTACATCCGCCATGATGGACGGTACCCAATGAGTCTTCCCAACTTCTGTGTGAAGATGCGCTTGCCATTTCCCCCCGTCCCCCGAGTAGTGCAGCAAAGCCATTTTTCCCGGCCCGCAAGTAGTGCAGCAAAGCCATTTTTCCCGATCCCCAAAATCTGAGATTTGTATGTTGTTGTTGTGAGCAGCAAGATGCTCACATCCTCACCGGGTTGCTGTCTTCTTTGCCCCGAACGCAATGATGGACCATTACATCTTATCTGTATGTGGCCTGAAAGTTGTGCTAGATTATACAGCCACCATGACAGGGTGTTGTGTTCGGGGGAATAAGATGGTTTACAAAAAAGATGGCTTTGAACTTTAAACTTTAAAGGGTTTTTTTTTTTTTTTTTTTTTTTAACGATAAACAGGAAGAAGGAAAAGTTCAGTCGGTACACCCATGTACTGTTGAAATACAGACCCAAATTAAAATCCCGATGCAATCAGACGAACAGAAGAAAATTACCTGGGGCCGGGCCGTTCAATGATCATATCTCACGGCCGTCACGCTTTGTTTTTTTTTTTGCTGAATTTTAACGGAGGAAATTTACAGGTGTCCACCATTCATTCATTTGGTTAAACCGCCAGTACACGGCCCCGGCCTTGCAGAACAAGCAACTTGCCGGTTCTGCACTGTCGCAATACCGGACCACAATGGCTGGCAACGCCAGCCGGACGTAAAAAAAAGGTGCACTGCTGGCGGTTCGGAAAGCTTGGCGTGAAGTAAGCTGCCTCCAGACCCAGGTGTCCTGGTGGTTTAAAGCGGCAGTGCGGCGGACCCTAAATTAGTGAACCTGAGTGTTGTTGTGTGCCCGAACGAGCATATCTCGGTCTTTGTCAGGCCGGCACATTGAAAGTGCAGCCTCCTCGTTTACGGTCGGACGTCTCAGCGGAGAGGTCTCACACTGGTGGGTTAACGGTGAAGTACGGGGATCGTATCTTTCGTATCTTCTCTTTGTTGTGTGCGTTGCATGTCGGACGTTTTGGTCTCTTTATCGAGCACCAGGGCCGGACCCAAATGGATCTATCCTGATCGTGGTCTTTAGCCACGCTGGTACATTGAAAGCTCGGCCTCTTTGTATACGGTCGGTCGGACCTTTGGGAGGAGAGGTGGTTTAACAGTGAAGTATTGGAATTTGCCAATTTGGAACTGTATTTTTTTTTTTTCAATTTTTTTTTTTTTTTTGTCGTTTTGTGCATTGCAGGTCAGACATTTTTGTCTTTTTGTTGAGCACCCGGGCTGGAGGGCTGGGAATCAATCTGACGGCGGCGGACACCGTCATATTCTATGAGAGCGATTGGAATCCTACGATGGATCTGCAGGCCATGGATCGTGCGCACAGGCTGGGTCAGACGAAGGAGGTAGGTGATCTGCTTCCTCTGCATTGTAGCCTTTTTGTAGGGTGTTTTGCACTATCTGGCTTTGAAATTTTCAAACCATTTCTCTCGATCTCGTCAATTTCTGTTGCCTCCGTCCTCGGCAGAATGTTGCAGCCTTCGGCCTCGTCTTTTCCGTACCTGAAAGCGCACGAACTCTGGACCTCACCGGTTGGTCACGCTGATGCTGCAGGCATGCCCCGGATCGAACGTGCTGTCATTCTAGCTGTGTTTGGGGCAACTTCCAGCCTCAATTCTCGGAGGCTTTCCATTTATGCTTCCTCTTTTTTTTTTAAATACCAAATTATTTTTTTTCCCCTCTTTGATAAGGCATAATTTAGGAGTCCAATGATGAACTTATATTTTCAACGAGGTAGTCTGGCGCTGTTGATGTCCGGATCCCGACATCTGGACACAGTGGACGGGACAGCCAGAGAGACAACTTGGGGCTCATCTGTCATAATCTCTCTCTTCCTGCAGCTTTTCGTTTCTTGTTCCCTTTCTCGCACTTAGGGCCTTGCAACAGCGACCACAAATCGGGAAACAATTTGAGTGCGTCTTCCCGCAGAAGCTGGGAAAAAGCATCCCGCCGCCGTGAATAATAAGCCGGAAATCCAAAACACCCATAACCCCAGCGTCGCATGCTAATAAGCTATATAGGTAGGTAGTGGGACACATATTGAGAGAAGAAATATAGGTTCGTTTTATAAAATGATAATCTAGGCTACCAGCTGGGCCGCCCGGGTCACCCTGTTTTCCTGGGCGCCCCGGCCGTGCAAGGACCAGGGAAGGTCCCAGCAGTGGGGGG